AGAAATGGCTAAATTGTAAGTGATCCAAAGTTCGGGGACTAAAATGTAAATACTTAAAAGTTGTGCCGAACCTCACGATGAAGATTAGAGAGTGCTCTGAGTCAATTGGATAAAGGAAGTCGTCAATGGAAACATATTTAGGCAAAAGATGATCACAAATCAATATTCAACCGAAAAGTTATGCTCCGATATTTTAGTCTCATATTGAGACATATTGTTGGCATAGAAAGTGATTCGAATTGGAGAATGATGTCTGAATCAAAGTTGTAGCCAGATGAGTTAGCTTTCCAACGCATTTTGAATCGCCTCAATCGGACATCGGAATGCAAAGTTATGATAAACACATTGAAAGAAGGTGCAGCTGCCTGTTTAAAACAAGAAATTTCATTACATAGTCCGTTAAAACAACAAATTCCGTTAGTTTTTCCGTTAAAAACAAGAAATTCCGTTACATAGCCACTTTTAATATATAGAAGATGTGTGTGTGTGTGTGTGAAAATTAATGTTAAATCATTTATTTAATTTTTGGATGTTAATTAATTAGCATATATGAACATGAATAATGAAATACATTCTTAAATGTGAAATTCTAATTAACTTTTAATTAGAATTAATAATATTGAAATACATAAATGAAGATGAATATATTAATTAAATGAATACGAATATTAATTAATTAAGAATTAATAATATGGAACTCATGCATTAATGAAATTACACAGGTGAAATGAATATGTCAAATTTATATGTACATTGATGGTAACTAAATGGTTAAATAAATTAAATATGTATTAAAAAATGAAAAATAAGGTATTATTTAAATAATTGAATTATAGTAGGTCTAGAATCGTTCAAAAAATATTTTTCACCTAATGTGATATTTGATATATTATAGATTTCTTTAATGTTGTTAAAACATTAATGTCGGATTTTATTGATTTGATGTGTATTTGTTTAATTTGATTATTAATTATAAGTTAATTAAAATTTGACGGGTACTGAATTGATGTTTAATCTGAGTGAATGATTGAATTTAATCATAATACTTTTTTTAATAGAATTTAGGAATGTTTAATCCGAGTGGATTATTGAATTAACTGTATAAATTTAGACACGTTTATCCCCTGTTCGATTTAGTTAAAAATCAAAATTTTGATAAAAATTAATGAAGTATGTGGTTGAAAAGTTGTAAATCTCATAAAATGTTACATTAAAATTAAATATTACTTTTACTTAGATTTCAATTAACTTTTTAACTGAACCAAATTTGGACTTTGAGTGGATTAATGTTTATTTCATGGACTTCAACGCATTCTTGTATGTAGTGATATCATTGAAGTATCGCCCAAAGCACTGTGATTTTCTTAGAGTCTCTCTCTCTCTCTCTCTCTCTCTCTCTCTCTGGGGTGACCAATTAGGTTATTTAGGTGTTCCCCAAGTATGAAATCCACGGGGAACTTAACTGTAAAAGATTTTTCACATTATATTAGAGGAAATTATAGGCTACTCAATTATTATAAATCAAATCTTATTGTTGGGTTTTGATACCCAATAAATTTCGGGTTATGATGTTAAACCGATTTTTTGTTAGATTATAATTCATAGGCCTCGATCGATGAGTGAAGTAAAATGTCGACACCACAATTGAACCAAATGAATCACGTAATCCACTTGAGCCATTTGAAGCAGTCTAATTAATTAGAGTTGCTCATAGTCCAATCCAAATTTGGATGACTCCTATAGGTTGCTAGCCCACTACTTATGTCTTATTGGACCCTATCTACTCTCTAACCTAAAGCCCATCATATTCCAATTATACCCGCCCACTACTGTTGCTAGGTGTGAGAAGATTGAGAGCCGTCCCTTTTTCTAAGAAACAAGAATCGGTCATATTCACTGTGCTTTGTGCTTTTCGATTTTGTGCCATTTAGTAAGACCCGTTTCTTCTTCATTCAGCCAGCCTTTGTGGCTAACTTTCTTGGCTATAATATTCTCATCCCTAAGTCCTTTGTGGGCTATCCATTTGTTGGAGCAACCAATGGGAAGTGTTAGTTTATGGATTGTTTATTGGTTATTTGTGGTGTCTACTGGTTTTTCTGAGAAAGTATTTGGGTGTGATTGGAGGCCAATTAGCGATAGCAAAAAAGTTCGTCAACTCGGGCTTGGCTCAAAAAAAGCCCGAGCCGGGCTCGGCTCGGGTTGAGCCCCATTTTAGGGGGTCGGCCGGAGCTGGGCCGGCCCGTAATTAATAAAAAAAATTAAAAAATCGAGCCAGCTCGGCCCGTTAAGGCTCGGGCTGAGCCTTATTTTTTTTGGTCGGACTCGGCTCGGTCGGGCCCGAAAAAGCTCGGCCAAAAAACTTCGAGTAGAGCCCAAGCTTTTTTTTTTTCGACTCAGCTCGTTGACATTGCTAAGGCCAATATTCTACAATACCATAATCTCGGGCTAACGATCGGCTTTTAACCCTTGATTCACGATACGCTCTGTTTCACAATGCGGTATCCCGCGCTCGGTGGAGAACTTGGGCATCCTCAGTGAAGATCTTAGAGTTGCGGACTGTTGCCTAGGAGTCTACCTAGTTCGCGCTGCTCCTGTGGCGTTCAGATTGCCCCCACTAACATTTATCCAAACCAGGAAAGTTTAAAAGATTTGATAAGTACTACTCATGCCACAAGGTGCACCTTCTTTTCCGAAAGTCTATCGTTAGAAACTCTATAGTTAAGCGTGCTTGGCTTGGAACAATTCTATGATGGGTGACCCCCTAGGAAGTTTTCTTGAGGAGCGTGCGAGTGAGGATAAAACATGCTGAAAAGACCTATGTTGGTACAGTGGGGACAGTACGTCATCTATCTAACGGTCGGGACAGCCTGTTAAGTTGGATCCGGGTCGTTACAATGGTATCAGAGCGATGTTTGGTGGTGGATTCCTGCCAAAAACTATCCAAAATCGAGCAGGAAATTGAAGCAAAATCTGTCTAGATTTTTTACAAGAAAATCGCACCTTCAAACTTGATTTCCGGCCAAACTAGAAAGAATTTGGAGAAACGGTGACCACTGTGGAACGTACAGGTTGAGGTGACAACCGTCGGCGGCGGCTGCGGCGCGTGGAAACTCCGGCGAGGTGCGTGGCAGCGCGTGACTGATCTTCTGAAGACGGTTTCTTCTGGCAGTTTGTTATATTTGATTTCCTAAACGTATTGATATATTTAGTTTAGTGTTTTAGGTTGCGCGGGAAAATTTGAACGATTTTGCCCCGGCGTTCGTAATTCAATTGTCGCTCGGGTTGATTGCCGCAGTTGCTGAAGACTTTAGGGCGAATAGTGGTGGCCCTAAAGTGATAATTTCGCTTCTCTCGTAATTTACGGACTCGGATATGTCCGTGAAGGGATAACCATTGCTTGTGCTAGATTAGTCCACTTCACTGTGCTTTGTGCTTTTCGATTTTGTGCCATTTAGTGAGACCCGTTTCTTCTTCATTCAGTCAGCCTTCGTGGCTAACTTTCTTGGCTATAATCTTCTCATTCCCAAGTCCTTTGTGGGCTATCCATTTGTTGGGGCAACCAACTGGGAAGTGTTGGTTTGTGGATTGTTTATTGGTTATTTGTGGTGTCGATTGGTTTTTCTGAGCTCGGTATTTGGATGTGATTGGAAGCCAATATTCTACACTTATTTTTACTATTCAACATTTATAATCATTGAAATACTGATATTTATAAGTAGAAATAATATATGTTAAATCACCACACTCATCAACAAAATCAACACCCACGCTTATCATCACTATTTCACAATTTATTCCATGTCTTCTTTCTAAATATCTACCCCATAATTATCTCCATTGGTTTGTCGTGCAATATGAAAGTACTCTTCAACTTAGAAAAGAAGCTCACAATTTGATAGGAAATGCCTTGAGAGGAATGGCCTTCTGTAGAGTAAGTCCAAATTTCTCACTCATGTCCATTTCTTCTGGTTTTAATCCCTCTTCAAGTTTCCATTCAAAGTTGCATATCAAAGTGGCTAGCATGAGGTGCACCATTCGATCGGCCAAAGGCAAACCTGGGCATAATCTCCTCCCCGCACCAAAAGGAATGAGCTCGAAATCTTGACCTTTGAAATCAGTTTTGCAATCTAAAAATCTTTCGGGCATAAAAGAGTTTGGATTCAACCAAGTGTTTGAATCTCTACCACTTGCCCAAATGTTAACAAGAATTTGTGCATTTTTAGGGATCAAGTAGCCATTGATCTCTCCATTGCCATCAGCTTTATGAGGTAAAAGAGGGGCAGCAGGGTGGAGCCTAAAAGTTTCCTTCACCACAGCTCGTAAGTATGCGAGCTTCGAAATATCCGATTCTTGAATTGGACAGTTTATTCGTATCACATCCCTAAGCTCATTTCTAGCTTTAATTAGCTTATTAGGGTTGCGCAATAACTCTGTCATTGCCCATTCCACTGTACTTGAAGTTGTATCCGTCCCAGCTACAAATAAATCCTACAAATAGAAAGAAATTAATTAGGTGTTGCTTAATAAAAATCTGGTCTAAATCGTGGGTGATGCTAGCGATCACTAGTGGTCCCATTGTTGATAGTTAGCATTATTGTTTGAATTTATTTCAATGTTATTGTAAGCAAAATGAATTTCTTTTTCGATAACAACTCACACATGCACAATCTATGACAAATAGGTTGTTCTAACACTATATTGAACCACAAATGATGTAAAATAATAATTCAGTATAATACTTACGAGCAGTAAGTGCTTTATATCATCTCGGCTTAATTCAGGCTCGGGTTTTTGGTTGAGATCAAGGAGAGCTTCAAGTATATCATTTTTCACTGTTGTGCCTCTTGTTTGCATCCTTTGATCTATTATACCATCAAATATTGCAAAGAATTTTTCAAGATAAAACTTGGTCCGGCGCGAAATTCCTTGGGGATCAAAATATTTAAGAAGTGGGAAAAAGTCTGCAATATTAGGACTCCCAAGACATTCCATCACGCCCCATACGACATTCTTTAACTCTTGAGAATAATCAGAGTTAAATTCAGCAAATTCAACTGAAAAAATAGTTGCAGATATCAAATTAAGCGAGGTAATAAAAGCAACTTCACCAATTTTCACAGCTCGCCCGTTAATACAACACTGATTCACATAGTCCCCCAGTTTCTGCAATTTCTCTAGGCGAAGGTCCCAGCTTGCGTCCAGCAATGGCATTGAAAACATTTGTTCTTTACATATTCTGCGAAGTTGACGCCATTGATTTTTCGCTGGCAACCAAACCATAGAATATTTGTTGTGTTCGTTGGACATGGCTGCACATGGGACCCTTCTACTGGAGAAGACTCGGTCGTATTTTAGTAAAACATCTTTGGCTATTTCAGGTGATGAAACAACTACAGTACTAATACACCCTATTTTAAGATACATTAAGGGTCCATAGGTTTTGGAGAGTTTGGCCAATGACTGGTGGGGTTTCTTGCCGAGTTCTAGTATGTTTCCGATGATCGGAAAAGGAAATGGACCCGGTGGGAGCTTGGCAGATTTTCGAGACTTTGAATTTAATGTATGAAAAAGAATGCATATCCATGTGATAGACGAAAGAAGAAGAAAAAATGTTAGGAAATCCATGACCATGTTTTTTTTTTCCCCGTTGTTGGCTTCTCTATGGGGCTCTATTAATCATTCTAATGCACTCTCAAATGCGCGGTGTTTAAATAATATTATGAAGAATCAAGAATCCACATGGACCATGAGTCTACAGTTTCTCATGCCAAGCTGCAACATTATCTCGATGTCAAATCGAAAAGAAAATGCTACTTGTACATCAAAAAGCGTACATCAAGGTCTACATCCCCTCACATGGAGGGGTCCACTTGAATAAAATATTCGAGTGGGCCCCTTACCCATGTGAGGGGGGTATACACCGTGATGTACACCTCGATGTACTAGTAGCATTGCTCAATCGAAAATCTCTGCGAAAACGTTATCTTCAAAAAAATTAAAATGTGTTTAAAGCTTTAGAAAAAAAACGTATTTAATGTTGCATGCTTCGAACTTAAATTAGGTTGCAACATATATTAAGCTAACAATTAGCCCATGTTATATTTAAGTCCGTAGAAATTAAAATTAAAATTTTAATCTAAATCAAAGTTAACGATTAATTTTAACCACACATTTTAAGAGATCCATAAATTTTCAATTACACGTTTTATTAACTTTTATCAAAATCTACTAAATATCTGATTAAAAATGCCATAACTTAACATCTGACACGAAAAAATATTGCTTGAGGCCGGCTATTGATGTTAGCATTGGAAGTATTCCAAGAGACCAAGACAAGAAGTAACTTGTGGGGACAAGAAGTCTTCTTCATTTAACATGATACTAACATATATTATTTATATTGTATTTGATTCGTTTTAATTATTTATTACTGTGATATAATTAGTGAGTTCAAGCTCAAAGATACTTATGTGTAATTACCTTGTAAATATTTAGTTTA